GTATTTAAGTACACCGAAAACGATGGTGAAGTCAGAACTTGGGACATGAACATAGTTCCGATGTTATGGCACTTCAAAGTTGGTATGCAATATGTTAAAGTTAAATAACTTAAAATCGGAGCCACTATAATATACTTACATTATACTAAKACTTTAACAGGCAAGGTTACAATATACTCATTAGTCTGTTGCTTACTTGAACATAACCGCAAAACAACTTAATATACCTAGTATTATTATAACTTATTCTGTRAAAATAAAAAAATTAATCACACGTTGCGGTATACGTAAACGTATAGGTACCTATAATCGCAAACTTTGGAAGACTATACAACTTCAAAACTAACTTAGTGCTCCAAATTACGATTTCACCAATATTTTTTTCACCTAAAAAATATTTAAGCCCTACTTAAAAAAAAGCCAAAAAAATTGTCTCCTGTAAAGTATAAATGTTCTCCGATGTACTTAGTAATGCGATTATAGAAAGGAAGTACTTAATTTGAATTAAGTATTATAATACTTAAAATTAATTAGCCCATTTTTCGCGAATTTCGTTATTCAACTCATATAAATTATGTTTGAATATTTAAAGTGTATGCAATTTTAAGTGTTGTTAATACGAAATTTAAATTAAAAATCTAAGTGTGGCCGATCGATCAGTTCAATCAGRCATAAGTATTAAAAAATTCAAATCAGTTTTCAGAAGTAGCCTTATTGAATTGTTAGGATTTACAAAAAGCGCATTGTTTATTGTTTACGCGCACAGCGTCGCATTTTATGACAATAGAATGTGTATGTGAGGGAGCGCCAAGTTCTTTCGTTTTAACTATGAACAAATCACTGATGTCAGACAGATATATTAATGATCACTCATTACTACGAATACATTTGCAAGACTATATGCATGCACTAAGAAAAATAAATAATCTAACGTTTGCTCTAACTCAGGCACGTACACAGAATAAAATTTCGGGGTTGGGGGGGGGGAGGTTTACAAACTATAGCAATATAAATTGTACAGCAACATAATAAAACAATTTCTTCCTACTTATTCATTATTTATTATGTGACAATTATTATGCAAAATAATCAAACTTTATTATGTATGTCATTTGTTCAGTGTTCAGAAGTAAGTATATTTAGGAAATAGGAATAATAGGTAGTAATAAAAATAAATAAAACTTTAAATAATATGTATTATGAACAGAACATAAATGTATTTGATTATTGTATGCACATACTGCAATATTTTCAATATTACTCGATTCACTTTCAGTTTCTTCATTAGTTTTAATTTTTTTTACACCAAAATTGAATAATGATGGTTGATCCTATTTCTTTTCATTGTAAAAAAAAAATAATAAAATATATGATATTTAATAAATTTGGTTATGTAATCAGTTTTCATAAGTTAGAACTCTCAAAAATATCCATAACACTATCGCACTCGTTACTCGTATATTATAAGTTATAACCGTTCAAATACCGAACACGGACTAAAACTAAATGATCGTAATCGTTTGATGATTTTATTATTGTAGTTTAGCAATTCAATAGAAATTTTTGGTGTCCGATCGAGTACGGAAATAATATAAGATAAGATTATCCACAAAATATGAGTTTTCTAGGTATATCGCAAATCGCAACTATACAGCAGAACTGTACTATTTGCAACTATACAGTTCTGTGTTCGTTTGTAGTTCTCAGTAATCACCTCGATCATACCCGACTAATAAACAGATAACCAGTCAACAGCAAATTATAAAAATATTTTATAATAATAGGAATATAATAAATTTGACTAAATTTTTAAAGAAATTATTTCGGGGGGTGACCCCCACTGTTTACGGCCCTGCTCTAATTGTGAAAAACTATATAATTAGTTATGAAACAGAACTTTTGATATTATCGATTGTTATTTTGTGATATAAAAACGAGTAACTGTTGATAAGTATTATAMTTCTATAATACATTTTCATCAAATGTTTGTTATTACTAATAACATACTAACAGTGGCGTATTTTGGTTGATTTCTCGGGGGTGTCAACATTTATTGAACCTCAAAAACAAAATGTTTAGTATTATTTA